GATAGATAGATAGATAGATAGATAGATAGATAGATAGATAGATAGAACACAAGATACAATTTCATCTGAACAAAAGTTTAAAAAAAACATGACGATGTCCAATAACATGCCTAAACTGTTCAACTATGACCAAACAGTCAACTTTCTAACCCCAAAACAAGCATTACAGCAGTGAGGAAAAATATATCCATCCACTTTCAGTTTTAGGTACATCAGTACATCCATCAGTAAATTAGAAAAATTAACCAAAGTCTAAAATGATTCAAATTCAACCACGAGTAAAGAAAAACACACAACAGATTTTGGTCCAATATTCTTTATAACGTTGCTTCAGTCTACTGAGGTTTGCAGACTTGGGTTTCTGCTCAGCTTTCTTAAGGTCCACCACAACATTTCAGTCCAACTGTGGTCTGGACTTTGACCGGATCATGGCAACACCTTGATTCTTTCCTTTTTCTGCCTTTCTGTTGTACATTTGTTTTCATGTTTGGAATCATTGTCCTGTTTCACGACCAAACTTTCAGCTGTCAAACAAATGGCCTCACATTTGGCTCTAGAAGATGTTTGCGCTGATATGCTGTGTTGTTGTTGTTTTTGCCAAACATTACGCAGTGCATTATGGGTCAACATCTCTACTTTGGTCTCATCTGCCCAAAGAACATTGTTCCAGAAGTCTTGACGTTCACTCAGGTTACAGCTTTGCCACATCATCTCTTTAGAGAGAAGCAGCTTTCTCCTCCAACCCTTCCAAACAAGCCATACTTGTTCGTTTTTTGTTTTTTTTTCTAGTTGTCCAGTCAGGAACGTTCAAATTTAACCAGCTAACTGTGGCCTGTAGAGTCTGAGATATAGCTTTGTTTTGTCATTTGTCTGCGTTTTGCCCTGTACGATCTCTAGTTAAATTTACAGAAATGTCCACTCATGGGAAGATTGGCAGCCGTCTTAAATGTTTCCCACTTGGAAATAATCTTTCTCTCTGTAAAATGATAAACTACAATTTGTTTGGAAATTACCTTTAACCCTTCTCAGACTTACAGGCAACAATTGCTTCTCTAAGGTCAGTGCTGATGTCTTACTGCCTTGACATTGTGTTGCTGTACGCTCCAGAGCAGCAAACTGCATAAACTCCTGCTTTTATAGATATAAATACTGTCTCTCTTAATCTTAAGTAAGCAGCAAGGGTGGACTTAGTATCCATCTATCCATCATCTTTACCCGCCTCTTTCTTTCCAGGTCGCAGGGCTCACTAGTGCCCATGTCCAGCTAACACTGTGCAAGAGGTGGGGGACACCCTGGACACGTCTCCAGTCCATTACAGGGATGAATAGAGACAAACGAGACAAACAACCATTCACTCTCTCTCTCTCTCTCTCTCTCTCACCTATTTCATTCACAATTTTTCCTATTTTGCTTTGTTTTTACCGACATGGTGGAATCTGTTGTGTGTTTAATATTAAGTAAACTTGAGTTTGGATTTGAATAATTTTAGAACCTGGTAAGGACTGATCACTTTATTATTCATTCATTCAACCTTTATTTATACAGGTTAATCCCATTGAGCCTCGGGGACTCATTTACAAGAGAGACCTGAATTTTGAACAGAGAGTGATGACAACAGTGGACAACGACAACAATAGACAATCATAAAAGCTGCGTACATATATATTTTTTTAACAAGTTAAAATAAAATGGCAATCAAAAGGTCTTAAAGTCCTGATATATAGAAATCAGAGGGTGGACTTTGTTTTTCTCTCATTACTGTAATCCTCTAGAAATAACTGGCGTATATTAAAAGCTGGGTGGCAGTAAGATACACCAGGATTTTCTGATGTAAAGTGCAAAATGACATGATGTGACATAAACATCTGGAAGGAGCAAGAAAGGGAGGGCACGTGTCCTCTTGAGATATTTTGTTGCTTATCAAACTTTGTAAAACACAGATGGTCGGTGTTTTATTGATAATACCAGCCCTATGAAAATGCAGTGTTAGCTTATAAACAAGGTTTATTGTATTTATTACAGCCAGAAAATCCCACACCGGCTCCGCACACATAATACATACATACTGTGTTAGCTAGCTTTGGTTAATACAAGTAAGAAAAAAATGAAGTTTAAAAAAATACTGTTAAATTCAACATAATAATACATAATGGAGCATTTGCGAACTACTGCGGTCAGACAGGCTAGTAAACTGAGAGCTAACCTGCACAGATCGTCCAGAACGCTGGAGGGGATGTCCACTCTTTTTGTTTCCATGTTGGTTGAAAACATCTCGACTTTGTCTCAGAGAAGCAGGGTGTAAAAGTATCCGCTTACATGCGCACTTCAAATGCTTAGAAACCTCGTCTTTACAGAAAGGAACAACACCTCAGCAGCTAACTTTTTTAGCAACAAAAAAACTAAACTAAACTAACCTTAGCAGTCCCGGCCGAACTGCGCATGCGCGCTGGTAAATGTTTATTTACGACTTCTTCTTCGTTGGTTTTAATGCGTAGCTGCAACTTGGGGATAACTCTTTACTGCTCTCTACAGGAGCAGGTCATCATGCGGCTCAGTTCATGATCTTAAAAAGAAGAGGAAAGAAAACACATTTCTGGTAGTTTTTACCAGACTGGTTGGTCTTTAACTATGTTTTTAACAGTCAATCAAAAGAACTGTTTCAGGATTATCTTATTAAATCCAGGAGCATGTTAGTACACTCATTAAAAAAAATAAAAGCCCCAACGTGTTCAGCTTCACATGAATGATTTTCAAAATAGCATCCCCCCACCCCACCAGATTTAAGAAATGGCCCCTGACTACTTCTTTCTCAGTAGTTACTTTTATTGCTTTCCTTTTTAAAGAACATGGCTCTGTCCTCTGTATTTTAATCTCTTGATTGTGACCAGCATTTTTATTTCCTTAAATTTTGGAATAATTTCAAAGAAAAATTGTTCCAATCAGTGAAGTGAAAATGTCTGAAGCAGTAGATTCAAACATAATCAATCTGATTTTGCCCTTATATAAAGTTTAATTCACACAGTAATCAATATAGGATGCTTGTCAAACATATAATGTAAAAAATAAAATCATCAAATCTTAAGTGTCTAACGTTCAAAAATTTAATGCAATACTTCATAAAGCCCTGCTCTGACTTTGTGCAATCACATCATTAAAAATAAAGTTGCTTCATAACAATAATAACATAACAACATAATGTTGCTTCATAACATAAGTGCTGCAATTTACTACAAAAAACAAGTTTATTAAAAAAAACCTAATTTACTTCATTGCAAAAACGATATGTACATGACAAAACTACATCAGAATAAAAACAGTAAAACAAGAATATAACAAATTTACAACAATTTATATGCTTGACCCCAATTTTCCAGCCATTTCCTCCCCAGCAACATTATTTCTCCAGGTCAAACCAATAAAATCAACCAGAATTACAAAAAATTCTAACATTCAGAACAGGTGAAACAACAATGAATGTTTGAATCAAAGTGTATAATCCACATGACAGCAGTGCCGGGCGTCCTTTCTGTTGATGGGAGTGGATTTTACAGGTGATCCACCCCACGGATCCTCCTGGCCAGCTGAATGTCACGAGGAAATAGAGTGACCCTCTTGGCATGGATGGCACAAAGGTTAGCGTCTGAGAATAACATGACGAGAAACGTCTCAGCAGCCTGGGAGCACAGGGAGAGGCAGAGAAACACAAAGTAACTGAGAAAGAAAACAGCTGTAGCCGTTGTTCTATTAGTTCCTGCTTACATTCTGTCTAAACATATTGGCCAAATGAGCATATGTTTATAGCATGAACTTACAGTAAATGATATAGTTGTTTGTGAGCTAGTTTTAAGGTAAAATATTTCCAAGCTCAACAGAGCTTGTGGTTTACACATTTTAGGGAAATAAAGACATGCAGTTAGAACCGCACGTTTACATACACGGTATAAAAAGACAGAACCATTTTTTCCTCGCAGTCAGACATTAAATCAGAATAAATCGTTCTTGTTTTAGGTTTGCTAGGATTCCCAAAGGTATTTTAATTTGTTAAATGTTCAAATAATCAGAAAGAAAATTTGTTAAATCATTATTTTATTACTTTTTAAAGTCACAAGTGTGCATACACAATGATTATGTTGCATTAAAGCTCAGCTGACGATCTCATGGCTTTCGGTTGGTTTGTTGACAACATCTGTTATTATGATGTGTTTTAAGGCACACCTCAAACACGATGCTTCTTAGTGGAACTTCATGAGAAAATCAAAAATCTGCCAAGATATCAGGATGAGAATTGTCGACCGTCACAACTCTGGTTCATCTTCAGGTATAATTACATTTATCTGTTCAAACAATTACACACAACTATAAACACCAGAGGAATGTCCTGCAATCATGCGGCTCATGAAGGAGACAGGTTCCATGTTTTGATGCAAAACGTGTACATCAGCCCCAAAACAAAGACCTTGTGAAGATGCTGCTAAAGCTGGTCAGAGTGGGTTATAATCCAGAGCGAAACGAGTTTTGTACTGTCCTGAGCTGAAAGGCCACTCAGCGAAGAAGACGCCATTAGTGTGAAAACAATTAAAACAAGACAGAACAGGTCACAAATGTACACAAGGGCAAACAAAAACCTTCATTTATAAAGACATGCCATGTGGTCTGATGAAACTAAACTGAATTATTTGACTAGACTTTTTTCTTGGATGAAAAAAGGAGAAGCCTGAGCATGGAGGTGACAGTATCATGCTGTGGGGGTGTCCTGCAGGAGTAGGAGGGACTGGTGCACCTCACAAAGTAGTTGGCAGCATGAGGAAAGAACATTTTGTGGAAATATGGACGCAGCATCTCAAGACATCAGCCAAGATATTAGGGCTTGGGCACAAACGGGTCTTCAAATGGACAGTGAGCCAAAGCATAAGGCCACATTAGTTACAACGCGTCTTACGTTAAGTTAAAGACAATAAAGTCAATGGTTTTGGAGTCAAATCAGCGAGCTACCGCAGCGCTCTATGTGGGGTAGAGGGCTGCTTTTTTTGCTCAAGGGCCTAGAGTCAGACAAGTGGGAGCCTTCTTTCTCTCCTGGTCAGTTTGGGTATTTGAACTGGCAACCTTTCGATCACAGGCTCACCTTCTCTAGCACCACCACTCCCCCCACAAAGCTCCCCTCTGACCTCAATACCATGGAAAATGTGTGGCAGAGCTGAAAAGGTGTGTGAGCAAGGCGACCTACAAACCTGGCTCAGATACAGCAGTTCTGTCAGGAGGAACAGGACAAAAGTCCAGTTAACTACTGAGAAGCTGTGCAAGGAAACCCGACATGTTTGACCCAAATCATACAGATTAATGGCAATGCTTCCAAAACTCTGACTTTAAAGAAAGTAACAAAACATTCTTTCATTCAACCTTTATTTCTACAGGTAAATCCCATTGAGCCTCGAGGACTCATTTACAAGAGAGACCTGATTTCAACAAAGAAAGATGACAACAATGGACAACAGCAACAACAATAAACAGTTATAAAAAGTCATACTGCAGGGTTTTTTTTGTTGTTTTTTTTTACAAATAGGATGGCTAAAAGAAAAAGGTAACAAAAAAACAGCTAGATTCTAAGGCCAATGTAGAAAACTAAAAACAGGAACATGTCAGCATTGGACCCTGCCAGGAGTCCAACAGATTCTTAAAGCCACTTAGAGAGGTCAAGGACGAGAGCTTCAAATCTTTTTGTAAGATATTCCAGGAAACAGGAGCGGAGTAGGAGAAGGCCCTTTTGCCAAGTTCAGTCCGCACTGAGGGAACACTGCAGGTAATAATGTCCTGAGAGCGCACTCCGTAGCTGCACTCACGCAGAGACATGTAGGAGGAGATGTATGAAGGCAGCAGACCAAGAAGTGATTTAAAGATGAAAATGTACCAGTGAGAGAGTCTGCGTGAAGTTAATGATGTCCAGTTAACCAATGAATACAGGGTGCAGTGGTGGGTACGATAATCACAGCCAGTTATGAATCTTAGTGCACCATGATAGACAGCATCCAACATCTGCAGGGTTCTTGTAGGAGCGTTCATGTAAATAATGTCACTGTAATGAATGGAGGGAAGGAAAGTAACAGATACAAGGCGTTTCCTAGCATTCAGGGTTAGACAGGATCTGTTTCTGAAAAAGAAACCCAGTTTAACTTTCAGTTTCTTTATCAAGTTTTCCACATGGAGCTTAAAAGAGAGATGTGAGTCGACCAAGATACCCAAATATTTATAGGAATCAACAAACTCAATGGGGACACCATTTGAGGATAAAATCGGAGGAAGAACTGCTGGGACCAACTTCCTATTTGAAAAAAGCATCCCTTTGGTTTTGTCGGCATTTAGGACAAGTTTGAGGCGGAACAAATCAGTCTGGATGTTGTTAAATGCAGATTTCAAAAACTGGAAAGCCTTTTCAACTGTTTTAGCTTGACAATAAACAACTGTGTCATCAGCATAGAAATGTATGGATGCATCAGGGATGTTTTTACCTACATTATGTATGTAGATTGTAAAGAGGGTGCGTCCTAAGACTGAGCCTTGTGGTACACCATTGTTGACTGTTAAATAACTGGAGGAAGTGCCATTATGTTGAACACATTGCCTCTGGTCTGAGAGATAGTTAGAGAACCAACCAATAGTGTGATCTGAGAAACCGATTTCTGAGAGTTTATGACACAAGATGTTATGATCCACAGTGTCAAAAGCTTTGGACAGGTCTAAGAAAAGTGCAGCACAATAGTCCTTAGCATCCAGTGCTTCAACAACGTCATTAAGAACCTTCAGTGAAGCAGTGGTTGTGCTGTGTTGTTTCCTGAAACCAGATTCTCTCTCAATTGTTGAGCATTTAACAAATAAAATAATAATAATTTAGGAATCTTAAATACCCTAAACAGTTTAGTCTGATTTAATGTCAGTCTAGAAAAATGGCTCTGTATCTTTTATACAGCGTATGTAAACAATAAACATCTGGCTTCAACTGTGTGCACAGACAGCATGAGTTTAGTTGTCCACATTATATTATTTTAATGACTGGTAATCTCACAGATCAGGTTATAACTCTGCCCTTTTTTACAACAAGATCTGTGGATATCGGTTGACTCAGAAGTTGAATACGTCTGAAAATGACTGATCTAACTGAGGTATGATGATTAGGAGTGGTTTTGTCACAGTGACATCTGTAAAGATTACAGGGTTGTACTACAAAGTGAGATTTCCCACCTCGTGAGCCACCGTATACTAAGCTGAAAGTTTTCGGTCTCCTGCAGCTGGCTTCGAGAAAACTCAAAAAACAAGGATTACCGTATTTTCCGGCCTATAAGTCGCACCTTTTAGCCTAATTTACATGCCCTGCGACTTATAGGCCGAAGCAACATATTTATGGATTTTTTTCCCATATTTATAAACCAATTTTTGGCTGAGATATGACTGTTTTCATTCATTCTGACTGAAAATATTGAACACTACCATTTTCAGCTGCTAGATGGTACTCGAGTTGTATAGCATGCTGTTGTGTCATGTAATAGGTAAAAAGGGCTATTAATGACACAATCGGCTTGCCTTAACCTGCCACCTTCGTCCAGCTGGACGTCAAATGAGCTTCATTTCGCTGCGCCGCCCCAATAAAATGAAGCTCATTTGACCATTGAAGTGCATTTATTAAGTAAAAGTTCAACTGAGACACACCTTTCCTATAAAGTCAAGCAAACAAATAATTGTTTTTAGGTGCTTATCTTGTTAAATTTTAAAGAAATGCACAGCAGGTCGTCCCTCTGCGCGCTCCCGCTTACGCGAATCAGCTTTTGAAATGCAGCTGATTTGACCGTCAAAGTGCATTTATTAAGGAAAAGTCAACCTGATGCACACCTTTACTATAAAGTCAAGCAAACAAATAATTATTTTTAAGTGTTAATCTGGTTAAATTCTTGTTAAAGTCCTTCCGTGCACGTTCCTGCGACTGCCATTTGGCAGCCAATCGATTTTTGGCACAACACCGGCCCATATTTCCAGGTTGTCAGCGGTGACGCGTAACAAACGTGACACGTTGGGGGTGACGCATAACAGATGTGACTTATACAGCGAAGCGACATATTTATGGATTTTTCCAAATTATTAGACATTTTTAAACAGATGGGACTTATATGCCAGAAAATATGATATGATGCTCATGGTCAGAGGGAGATCCAGAATGCCAGATTGTTTATCTGATGCCATATTTATGATTGTAAATTAAATTCTCTCCAGCTGTGAAGTCTTGTATCCTTTGTTTAATTATAAAGATAAAAATAACAATAGTTGCTGTTCCATGGTAAATATATAAGGAGATTTTCTAATATCTCTTAATTTATAATATTCACAAGTTTTAACTACAATATATTTAAACATTTATTCTTGCTGAATATTGATATTGTAAAAGATTGCAATAAATTTCAGGCTCAAACGACACACCAGTATTAAACAAGGCAGCCATACTGACTCCTAAATACCCACAGCCAGCCAGTTTAAATGAAAGTGGTCAAAAAGTATAAAGTAAAACGCAGCCATTCTAAATGTGGGTTCTGTGTAAAAGTTATGTATGTCACTAGATACATATGTGAACAACCAGTTTGGAGAGCCAGAGCTTCTCTGAAAGTGGTTAATAAATCATAATAACTTGATATATGATGTTCATGCCCATGAAGAGAACAGGTCCTTACCTCCTGCAGAGCCAGCAGAGCATAGACCTGCCACCGGTATTCTTTAAAGGTAAACTGATGGCACACCTCACGAACCTGAGCCAAGAGGAAGAACAGAACAATTATTAAAGAGCGGAGGTAACAGGAAAGTCACACAGTAAGCCGATTAAATTACTGATTAGATTTTTTTTTTTTTTTTTTAAAAAGGTATTTTCTGTCCTCTGCCGTCGTTCATCGACCACTCAGACGTTTTTGTCTTTGAGCTTTTTGCTGACTTGCACGTTTTTAATCACCTGCTGCCAAAATGTGGGTGAATAATGTTTTTGTCTGTGTTTGTTGTTACTTTCTGAAAGTTTGATGAAAAAAACGTTCAGTAGTTCATAAGATATTTTGCTAACGCTACATATAAACAAACAAAAATGCACACAGATGCATGAAAAACCATTATCGCTTCATGCAGCAGACAACACCCCCCAAATTAGGGTCAGTCAAAGAGCTGTCTACACCAGGTAAGATAATAATTGTTCATCCCATTAAACCCGTCCTTCCATGTTTTGTAACGATCGGACTCACCAGGCGACCGAAGGGTGCCTTCCTGATCAGAAGATCAGTACTCTTCTGGTACTTGCGGATCTCCATTAAGGCTCTGGTTCCTGGTCTGAATCGTTTTTTTCTGGGAGACGCAGGAGACTTTGCTAAAAAAAACAAACAGAATCAGACTGTTGTCAAGAACTGTAGACTCTTCTTTAAAGCATAGCTAAACTTAAGTATTGTCTTTTTCACTTAGAAAAACATAGCTTGTGCTACAGAAAACATTTTTCATTGTGTCAAAAACTAACTACAAACACAGACGTGTTGAAGATCTAATGTAAAGAAAACGAACAAAGACAAAACACCAGAGGATATTTTATATAATAAAGATAAAGGGAACCTTGGAAGCTCATTTCTGCCACTCTAAAGAAAAAAGTTATCAAATTTATAATTATGAAACAAACTTACCAACTCTAACTTAGCATCCCATACTTCTGAAGACACAAAGTCTTAATCCTAAGATGCTAAGTAATAATTATGAAAATGTAATATTGTAATTTTAGTTGCTAGGTTAAATATACAAAATGCAAAGCTGTAAATTTAAGTAATGTCTTTTTTGATAGTTTAATCATATTTATGAAATATGAGAAGTTATAATTTAGTTATGCTAAGTCATAATTTTGAGATATAAGTTCATTTTTTTAATTTTAGAAAATTGCATTTTATTTTATGCGCAATTTAGATAATTTTTTAAGTTATTATATTGAAGCTTTACACCCTAATCAATCGTTCTTTCAACCTGTACAAGAGAGACCTGTTTTAAACAAAGATCACAGAAGAGGTACGGACAATAGACAATCGTATAAAAGTAAAGCAAAGTAAATGAAAAGTAAATATATATATATATATAAATTAAACAAAAACAGCTGCATTATAAAGCGATGTAAAATACACACCAAAAAAATATTAAAAACAGAAACATGTCTGCATTGGTTTTTGCCATGAACTTAACTTAATCCATACATTTTACAACAGCGTTTCATAACTATGACTTGGAGATTTTATTTATTCTAAGTGGCAGAAACGGCCTTCCTTAACAAGTGACTTCCTGCACAGAAAGCCGTGTATTTGAGCTTCATCTTCACTTGCCAGATGTGTTTGGTTTATGTTTCAAACCACACGGGCTCAAAGAGTTTAAAACGCTTAGCTTTTTGTTGCACTCACACGTAGATGGCTTCGAACCTGAGCGGGGTGCCTCTGGGACTGGTGCAGGGGGACGACGAACAGGAGTGTTTGCCTTCCTGCGGCTGGCAGATCTGTCTCGACGCATGATCACTGAAACACAAGTCAGAAACGAGATGCTGATCATTACGATACATATATACAGACATATTGTACAGGGGATATAAAAAGTCTACAAAATCCTGTTAAAATATAACAAATAACTGGTCTGTGAAGCTAAAGAAAAACCTTTTTATGTGTATTCTGCGACATTTCTCCAGGGAATAATATAAAAACTAGAAAAGCACAAGAAGCTAGTTCAAGTTCAAGGTTCTTTATCATCATTCGCATCACATCTGGTACATGAGGCGGAAGGAAATAGTGCACACAGGGTTACATCCAGCAATAGCAAAACTATAAAGTGTAAAAGGAAACAGTAAATAAGGATCTAAGATATAAACCAAAAGTTGCATTAGTTACTTTGTTGCATTGTGCACACCCTGATCTTTTGTTTGAAATGCCTCCTTCAGTTTTCCAGTTTTCTGAGGAATAAGTGCAAACCTTGAGCTGATAATATTTGTCCATTCCTCCTTTATTGAATTTAGGTTTCAAATGTGGCTAGGCCCTTAAAAATATGTCATTTTGGATGTATGCTTGGGGTCGGTGCTGTCTGTCTTCCTTTAACTTCAGCTTTTGAGCGGACACGTGAAATTTTCAGAGCAAAATAAACAGGTATCTGGAACAGTTCATGATTCCATCCACCTCCATTAGACAGACATAACATTAGACGCTTTTGGGTCATGTTAAATGTCTGCTAGACTTGTCCAAACACGAAATCATCACAAAGTTAGCTTCATCACTTTCCCAGCAGCTTTCGTGTTTAAAATAATAAAATTAAAACTTAACAAAGGGGTGAAATTTGGGTTAAAACGTAAAACTAATAGCTTTCTTGTCTAATCTTAGAAGACGTGTATAAAATACCTGTGAAGGACTTTACTGCCGTGTTTATTTCTTCAGCTCTTCAACAGCAGCCATAAAATTCAAACGACGGTAACGTAATCTGTTCGTCCAATCAGATTGGGGAAAAACAGAAGGCGGGGCTAATGACTTTAAGCACTCTGATTGGACGATAGCAGCAGTGACGCTTTTAGTGAATGCGCGCGCAACTAAGGGCAAACGTCAATTATGTTAGTTTAATTAATTTATTTTGGGTCGAATATGTTTATTATTTGACTCAGTATTGATATAATTTCATTGAACTTTCACTTCACCCAAATCGGACATTTTTAAAGAATATTTTACTGTTCAAAGAAGCAGTTTGTCCCACTTTTAATGCTAAATTAAGATTAAATCACACCTTTTTTGTTTATGGTTCCCCACAAAACTGATTCATATTTTTTCTATTGTTTTGTTGACTTCTAGGAAAATAAAATATCAGTTTCAAACCAACTGAAAGATTTGAGATCATGTTTATGGCCATAATTACCACTGTGTATGTGATCCTTGTGCTTTATTTTTACCTGTAAAGTTTTTATGCGTCAACATTTTTTTTAACATGTTAATTGTTTTGTGTGTTTTAATCTATTTTAATTTGTTCAGTTCTTTATTGTTTCTGTCTTTCGAGCTATATTTGTTCCCATTATTGTTTCTTTGTTTATTTTCCCCTAAACATTTTAATATTGTAGTTTTATTTTATTTTATGTCCATTTTTAAATTAGATTTTTTTTTATGCTTCATATTTGCATTTTATTTGCATTCCACTTATTCCTAGAAAACTATCTTTATTCTGCTGTTTTACAGCTCATTTGATGAACGGACTATAATGCTGTGAAGATATAGATTATGACTGCAACTATCAAAGGCATGTCTAAAAAAGTTAAATCTGGTCCTCTGGACAGTCATACCTTTTTTAGATTTTTCTACCTGGATTATTGAGCATGCATCAGGATATCAAAGGCATGTTTTATTTATGCTGTGAAGAGCAAAAATAACTCATGGATCCAACAGTAAATTCTGCTTTCAAAGTTAAATGAAGCTGTTGCATCTCTTGTCTGAAAAAGGCCTGATTGTCATTTTAATTTAACTGTTTAAAGGGTTAAACTACAGTTTATTCTGTCATCTGACTCTTCGGGTTCCACCTCAACGTTTCACATTTAATACATGCCAAATAAGAATAATGTTGCATGTATTTCATTCCTTGTAAATAGTTTTATTTTTAACGAAGAAGTAACCAGAAGTGGTGATGTAAATTTTATTTAGTCTTCGCACAGTTTTCAAAGAATTTCTGCTGCATGTTGAAACAATTGAACAAACATTTTGTGAGAATGAACAACTTTTACAGTGGTGAGCAGGGAGGCTGGGCCTGTGCAAAAAAGTGAAAGTAAAAGTAAAACCTGCTGATCAGCACTGACAGTCAGGTAGACAACAAGGCACAGGCTTTTCTTTAAGCATTCAACGTTTATTTCAGATAAGCTCACATCATGCTGCACAGTTTGAATCCCTGTCAGCAGACTGGAGGTTTCTCCTTTGAAAACAGCCGCAGGTAAGAAGAAACTGAGTTTGACAACAACAAATGGCGGAGCAGTGACTCAACAACACTACCCTCATTATGTCCGTTTTTCCTGCCTGTTCTTGGTGATTGTTTCCAGAAATGCAGTTTTGGAGTCCAGTTTGTCAGAAGTGGGATACAAAGCCCCCAGTGCCAGAAAGACGGGAACCACCATCGCTGGGATGATTTTCAAGGTAAGACACACAAGCACAAGTCAGTCCCTCAGAAAAAACAGAAACTGGAACAGGAACTATAACATTAATTTGTTTTATTAAGAACATATGTAGTGTATAGTATAATTTGTATGGATGGGTTTTAAGTGTATAATAAATAAATAAAAAAAGTTTAAGTTCTCAACTTCCTGGTTTGGGATATGTGACTGTAATGAGCCAATAGTCAGTTTTAGTCTTCAATTTTAAAAGTCCTTGATGTTATCCTGGTGAGATGAGGTTCTCTTCTTCTTGGTTTTAGGATGGAGTGGTTTTAGGAGCGGATACCAGAGCCACAGATGATATGGTGGTGGCTGATAAAAACTGCATGAAGATTCACTATATTGCTCCAAAGATCTAGTGAGTACACGTTGTGTTCTGTTAGTTTGCCTTTCAGGTTTATAGCATGACGGGTGTGTAAAAAAAAAAAACTGTCTGTCTGGGCCACATTTCAGCTCTGGACAGGGGTGTTGACATAAAGTACAGAGCACAGTACATAATAAGGCCTTATAATACATGTACCCGTAAGTACCTTTTAAGTACCCCCATATTCCACAGGCAGAATGTAAGCACAGTGTAATTATTCTGTAAGTACCTTGTGTGTATTCTGTGAGGAGTTACCCTTATAAATACACCAACTCATCATATGTATCATCTACGTACCACCTTAAGTACTTTTTCAGGTCTCTCTTGTAAATGAGTCCTCAAGGCTCAATGGAATTAACCTGTCTAAATAAAGGTTGAATGAAAAAAGTACTTATGGTGGATACTTATCCTTACAGCTTTACCCCATAAGTACAACCAAAAGTGCTATGTAAGTACTCTGTATTTACCCTGTGAGTACCATTTGTATAGCCCATGAATATCTTGTAATGATTGTGTAAGTTCCTTGTACCCTCATAAATACGCTAACTACATTGAAAGTATGCCTTATATACCAAATATGTACCCTGGAGACACAGGGGATTAGCAGTGAGTTCCCTTTATTATGGTATTTATTTATTATGTATGTGATTATTTATTTATTCCCATGTATGTACCTCTGTAAGTACCATGTAAGTATCCCATAATTATCATGTAATCACCCTATAATTACCATTGTAGGTACCTTATCATTTTTTTTTCATCCATTCAACCTTTATTTATACAGGTTAGTCTCACTGAGGTACAGACAATCATATAAAAAGCATATAAAATGAAAAGTAAATAAAATAAATTGTATAAAAACAAAACAAATACAGCTACATTATAAAGCGGTGTAAAAACAGGAACATGTTTGCATTAGTTTTTCCCATGAACTTAGCAGATGTTTGAAGCCACTTAGAGAGGTCAAGGTCGACAGCTTCAGATCTTTTTGCAAGATATTCCAGGAAACAGGAGCAGAGTAGGAGAAGGCCCTTTTGCCAAGTTCAGTCCTCACTGAGGGAACACTGCAGGTAATAATGTCCTGAGAGCGCACGCTGTAGCTGCACTCACGCAGAGACATGTAGGAGGAGATGTATGAAGGCAGCAGACCAAGAAGTGATTTAAAGATGAAGATGTACCAGTGGGAGAGTCTGCGTGAAGTTAATGACGACCAGTTAACCAGTGGATACTGGGTGCAGAGGTGGGTATGGTAGTTACTGCCAGTTATGAATCTTAGAGCACCATGATAGACAGCGTCCAACATCTGCAGGGTTCTTGTAGGAGCGTTCACTTTAATAATAAATAAATAAATGAATACCCAGTTTATCACTTTTTTACATTTTCCTGTGAGAAATGTTGGGTCTCCATCCTAAAACATTTAACAATGAAAAATGAGTGTGATAAAATTAGTTATTTCAGGTTTCATCACACAGCACGGTGGCGCAGTTAGTAGAGCTGATGCCTCTCAGCGAAATGGTTGCTGGATTGAATCCCAGCTGGGCAGCTTTCTGGGTGGAGTTTTTCATGTTCTCTCCGTGCATGCGTGGGTTTTCTCCAGGTATTCCAGTTTCCTCCCACGGACCAAAACATGCATGTTAGGCTGATTGGTAAATTGTCCCTAGGTGTGAGTGAGAGTGAATGGCTGTTTATCTCATTTGTCTCTATGTGTCCCTGTGATGGACTGGAGACCTGTTCAGGGTGTCCCCTGCCTCTCACACAGTGACTGCTGGATATGGGCACCAGTGACACCCGTGACCCATAAAGGAAGAAGTGGGAAAAGATAATGGATGGAAGTTTCATGGCAGATTGATGAATATTTTTATGCTAAAAATATAATATTTTGATCTGTGATTATGTGTCTCCTTAAAATGAGTCTGGCAACAACAATGGCTCTGGACCTTTATACGAAATTACAAAGTGCAGTCCCAAAGCAGAGCCTGATATCCAACAGTGTGCTGATGATAAACACAGATTTATTTCAGCCATGATCTGTCTTGTCTCTTCTGCAGCTGCTGTGGAGCCGGCGTGGCTGCAGATGCGGAGATGGCCACACAGATGATGGCGTCCAATGTGGAGCTCCACATGCTCAATACTGGTCGACCCCCACTTGTTGCTATGGTTACCAGACAGCTGAAACAAATGCTGTTCAGGTAGGAGAAACAAGAGCTTCAGTTTAGGTGGAACCTAAATGTAAGTTCTGAACGTGTTTTAGTTTCTGCTAACACATCATCACCTCAAACTTGTTTTTCATGCATCTTTCCATTGCTACTGCATCGGCTCTATACCACCTGGTGCACTTAACTTTCCACATTAGAGGTTAATGTTGTCACTGAGGCTCTTTGCTATACAGTGCACAAATTGCTATATTGTTTATTTAATTAGGACAAAACAAGTTGGGCGGCATGGTGGCGCAGTTGATAGAGCTGCCGCCTCTCATCAAGAAGGTCGCCAAATTGAATACCAGCCGAGGGGGCCATTCTGGGTGGAGTTTGCATGTTCTTTCCGTGCATGTATGGGTTTTCTCCGCGTACTCTGGTTTCTTCCCACAGACCAAAAACATGCATGTTAGACTAAATGGTAACTCTAAATTGTCCCTAGGTGTGAGCAAGAGAGTGAATGGTTGTCTCATTTGTCTCTGTGTCCCTGTGGTGGACTTGGACCTGTCCAGGGTGTCCCCTGCCTCTTGCACAGTGACTGCTTAACATGGGCATTAGTGACCCCCGTGACCTGAAAAGGAAGAAACAGATAAAAGATAATGGATGGATGGATGAAAACACAAGTTTCCACAGCCAAGGGTTGGGGTTCACAAGTGGCACATGGCTATCACAGTACATATTCTCCTTCTTCTCCTTTTGTTTAAACATCATTCATCCCTCTCTCTGAGAAAAATGTGTCTAGATGCTCACAAACATCATTTGACTACATGTTCACAGGAAGCAAAACTAAAAAAGGCAGATTATTTGTAATTTCTTAAAAAACAAAGTGGAAGAAGACATTGTGGTCATGAGATCAAAGCTTTTGGCTATCAAGAACAAAACCTGTGCAAACCCTCCACATCTCACTACATTCTGGAGACTCCATCTGAACTGTGAAGCATGGTGATGATGACATCATGATTTATGGGTGGTTTTATTGGCAGAAACTAAGAATCAGAATTAGAATAAGCTTTATTATCATTGCACCGAGATACAACGAGAATATGTCCGTACAGCCGTCCGAAAGATGAGTGAAGTGCACATAGCTGCTGCTATGAAGCGCGGCCTTCTTATCCTTTTCAGAATACATTTATTAAAATAGAAAAAGGGACAAAGCCACGAGGAGAGGATAGTGGCATGACAAAAAAAAGATATATTCACACCTTGTCCTAACAGGACACAATTTAAGACATCAAAATTCATGAACACGTTACATATGCATTTGACAACAAGGCGGTCCATGAAGCACATCCAGATAGTCCATTGTCCTGATAAGATGATGGTCAGGCGGCACAGGGGTGCGTGTTGCAATAGACAAAGCTTTTTTTTAGTTTACACATTTCCCAGGAGAAATTGATAAGTCGGCATGTTTCGAGACTAACCGGGAAGTCAGATTCAAATAATCCACACTTGTTGATTTATTCAAGCAGACTATTTTTTTCTTGTCAGCCTTGAGTCCTTACTGATACTTTCAAGATCCGAAATGGCCAGAGTGCATTCCACTGGTCCGTGCTTAAGAGTCTCTTCAAGGTTGTTTTCATGCTGACGAGTCCCAAAGCCGCAGGTAGCCTGTGATTCAAATCACTTCCATCTAATGGTTTAGCTAGTAAATAGCTCGTGATTTTGAGTCCTCAAAGCACGGACCAACCTTCACATAGGCAGCAGCCTAACGAGGGCCAAATTAGTTACGGTTGCCTTCTTTGTATGTTGATAGACCTGGAACCAGACTATTCCAAAAACAGGAAACCTGTCATCATAACTCCAATTATATGCAATGTTGGCGTCCTTGATCGACCGCAGAGGTAGACACATCACCCCCAGAGATATATCCAGCTGCATGTGTGTCGTCCGAGCAAATGAGGGTTCTCCAGGACCTTGTTGCTTTGTTGAAAAGATTTTGTCGTTTGTGTCGAAAGTCCAGTTGGTCAGATCCAAAACAGTAGTTTTCATTTCAGAAGATGTGTAAAAATAGGAGCTGCTTCGATACACAGACAGAGAGCAAAAATGCAGGAGGACAGGGAGAAGGAAGAAATGCGTGTGCCTCGTTACAGAGCCAGTGAGGACAAAAAAACGAAAAAGAAAAAAGAAAGAAACAGTCCAAGTAGAAAGAAAGCTGGAATAGAACGTAAAGAAATATAAAGATTATCAAATTTCTTTATTGTCATCCGCATCACATGTGGTACATGAGGGGGAATGAAATTGTGTACACAGGGTCCCAGTTACACCCAAAAATAGCAAAAATATAAATTATATATAAAAAAAACAGTATATAAGGATCTAAGAAATATGCTAAACACTAATAATGTAAAATAATACGGTGTATTAAACAGCAGTCTGAACATAGGAAATTCTCAAGGGAAACTATTTTGAGTGTTCCCAATATTTTGTGTTCCCAATATTTTTTCAAGACTGAGACAGGACAATGATCCTAAACACAAGGATGAAGCAACACTCCACTGGGTTAAGGAGAAACCACTCATTGTCTTGAAATAAATATATTTGATTTAAAGATAGCTGGACACAAACAGGACCAGAAGAACCCAAACATACAGTACCTTCTGTTGTAACTGCTGCACAGAAGTGGCTCTACAAAGTGTTAATTTTTTTAGGGTAAACCCATAAGATGGAAAGGTTCAATGAGTTAAGATAATAAGAACATTTTGTTATTTTTTATCTTGTTCTTAACATTTAATCTGAACTCCAGTTTATAAAAAGAAGAATGTCAAGAGATGTTTGCCTGTTTTCTCAGGTACCAAGGTCACATGGGTTCATCAGTGATAGTAGGAGGAGTCGATGTGACCGGGGCTCACCTGTACAGTGTCTATCCACATGGCTCTTACGATAAGCTGCCTTTCCTCACCATGGGTATGTGAGCATCATCTTTTATGCAAATCTACACGTTGTGACAGGAACAGGCACCGAAGGGAGATTTCTGAAAGACATTTTAAAGTTCTGTAAAACAGTTTACTGAAATTACGTCTTGAACGTTTTACCTGATTTCGGCCTGTAATCGTGTCATCTTAGCTCCACTTTAACAGAACACCTCTAAAGTGATGGACTGAAGTATAGCATATAATAAATGTTTGTAAGAGGGAGAGAAGCTTCTGTTTTCCTTCAAAATGTCTACATTTGATCGGTGCAGGATACTTATACCTGAAATACTTGAAATTGTAATTTATGGACAAGTAAATTAAAAAGTTATAAACCGTCATCTTTATGCATTATCTTGGTGTGAATACTCAACCAAATTAAAAGTCTAGTCTTCCTTGAAGGAATTCATACCACCCACCACTTTTCATGCTAGAGTTTTACAACTTTTAGATCATTTTATGTTGACAAATGACAGAGCTGTATCTGTTTTGGTCAAACCTTTGCAAAATGTCATGCTCAGGGTATGTGTTGTGGATTACCCTCAGCTATAACCACTCCAAATTTAAACAATAAATCTACAAAGTTTACTGAATTATACTGTAGTTATGTTCATAGCATATTTTGCTAAAAGACAGCAAATTGACATCAATAGTTCTGTAAGGATGGTGCCCCCTTGTGGCGGGTCCCATCCCTACACTCCCTGGTCTCCCTGTTAATTGTCTTGATTGTTCTATTTCGTATAGGCATTGCCCTTTAAGGCTATCGCTAGTGGGTTTATCCCTTTGCGCTCAGCGCAGCACTGAAAACTTTAGTCCACGCCCATCTACTGTGTGGGCCTCATCCCCAGTCCGTATAAATTATGGTGAGACCGGGTAATCGGCTCCCATTTTTTCTTCAGCCAGCTAGCTAGCACTGTCAGAAGAACGAAGAAGGAAAAAATGTCCAGCTTTGACCGGCACAACCTTTGCTAAGGATGCCTGGGTCTCCGCCACGCCAACCTCCTGCCGTCCCGGTGAGCTCTTCCTCCCCAGAGAGAAGCAGAGACGAGCAGCCTTGTTCAAGGTAAGCATCGAGGAGTGCTTTTCCAAGGCGGGCCGATACCCGCTGGACGACGCCATCGCTTTTTCTAACGTTTTTTCCTTGCGGTAACCGAATGATTTCCTCAAAAAGGCAATGTCAGCAGCAGCCCCGCGAATGTTTTTCCGTGGAGGGTCGCTACTCGCTGGACGACGCCACCACCTTTTCTAACGTGTTTTGTTCTCGCGGTGAATCGGATGATTCCCTCGAAAAAGGCGTTGTTGGCAGCAGCTCCACTGAGTGTTTTATTCTGTGGCGAGACACTATGCGCGGGATGACGCCACTGCCTTCTTTGACGCAGAGTCACGCAGTGAATCGAATGAATCCTCCGAGAAAGGTGATGCGGAGCTGCACCCTCCCTCCTGGAGAGCGTAGTAACGGAAGAGGAGTGGCCGTGTGGATGCTTAGCCATCTCGGATCTTCCCACGTCTGCGACCACACCACTCCCAGCCGTCGGCGCCCTCCTCTCGGAGCTGCCCGGCATAATCCAGGAGGATGTTAACACAAGGGACTTTCCGTCCCCTGCCTCCCTCCTCCCTGATCGGATGATTTGGCAGCAAGGTTGGCTCCGCCCCGGCTTGTCACCCTGACCCCATCTGGCCTCGCTGTCCAGCTGTGATGTCACACTGGAACGAGGCTGCAGTTGGGCCCGGCAAGCTGAAGACATCCGTCTCCACCTTCGCCTCCATCTCCAGAGTGGAGGGTTTTACCGATCAGTGTTTTTCCCTCGGTCCCCCTCCTGGAGCCAAGCCTGGCATTGGCATTGGGGCAAAAGCTTCCAGGATGGACCAGCAACCTGTCCCTCCAGGGAAGCATGACCAGATGGTGACAAGGTCTCCAACCGAGCTCACCAGTACTCATTCCAGATGGCTGCAGCGAACAACAATGTCGCCCTGCTGGCCTACAGCATGAGGCTGGAGGAAGCAGACCTGCTGGAGGAGACAAAGAGCTCTCTCTGTAAAGCTACTGATGTCATCTTAAATATGTGCCACCTCTGCGGTCTGCCTGTCCCGCATCGCTGCATGGATGACCATGATCCAGAGGACCATTTGGCTCTGCCTCTTGCCATCCTTGTCCGAGAGGCTGCAGAAAAACCTGCTGGAGGGCCCTATCACCCCAGAGTTGCTGTTTGGGGCCAAATTCAGGACCATCCTTGAGAAATCGCAGAGGTTCAAGGAGGTCTCAGAGACTGTACACCATCTGGTGACGTCACAGTCTATCTACCCCTCCGGTCGCTGGAGGGACCGCCGTGGCCAGCAACAGCAGCAGAGGCGCTCCACAGCTGCGACTTCACACTCTGGTCCTCCGCCGGCACCCTCCACCAGGGAAAAGCTCCTTGAGGGGAATGTGTGTGTTTTTTGATGAGGTATATTTTGAAATATAACAGAAACATCTCTAAAAGTAAAGTTTCATCTGATTCCAGCCTGACTGTCAGATCAACTGAGCTCACAGCTCCCTCTTCTCACTTCCCGACACAAAACAAGCCGGTAACTTCTAAACAGTGTTTTAAATGGCACCGCAGTTCTGTAAATATCACAAAACACTTGTCTGCCACGTTAGCTAAAAATTATTGTTTTTTTCAGCAGACCGAGTCCGGTAAAATCCCTCGCTCTTAGCCAGTGCCCATTTTTATTTTCTGTCGTTTTCTGTCATCTCACTGCACAGCAGGAGTAAACGTTTTTTCTCCACGACAGCTGCAGCCTCCACCGAAACGGCGTTTTCACTCAGAAAGCGCTCACGCCTCCTCTCAATGCGCGCCGGCCCTCCTCAGCTCTAACGTGAGACCACAGCCTGGGTTAAGTACAAAGGCACACATACAGCATTTTTCTGTTGGAGCCCCCACTTGAGTTCCCCCCGGGGAATCTTCGGAGCGGGTGATGGCAGTAAGGGTTTTTAGCCTAGTTAATGTCCATGAGAAACATGACACACAAAATGCGTGCCCGCTCTCCGAGCGTTACTC